GAGTGAGAGACAGAGAGAGAGAGAGAGAGAGAGAGAGAGCAATTGAGTGAGTGAGTGGTGAAAATGATGATGGAGAAGATGGGGAAGGAACAAAAAAGGAAAGCACGGCTCATGATGAAATCCATAGTAACTGCTTCCAACAAAGTACATTCGTTCCATCACAAGGCAAAACCAACAAAACATACCTCTCTAAATTACAAAACTAGGACAATTGAGTGACACTTGAAAGAACCACATGTTAAACTAACAAGATATGCAGACCAAAATATTACTTGAAAAATATTTTTAACAAATCAATACATAAAGATTAATAAAATTGTAAGTAGGGTCCAGATTAATCAAATGATATAGATATTGGCACACCAAAACTAAAATATTACTTGAACAACATTAGCACAAAGAAATTAATACGTACATTTAGAGCATAAAAGCAAAAATCTAATCACATTGGGTTCAGATAAAGCTTTCTAGGCTGCATTTTTGCTAATTAGCACAATAACAAACTGATCATAGCCTAGTGCAAATCAATACATATAAATTAATATAAATGTAGGTAGTGGGTCCAAATTAATCAAATGAAATAGATATTGGAACACCAAAACTAAGATATTACCTGAAGAAGCCTAACACAAACAAAACAACATTTACATTTCTATTTAAAGCAGAAAAGCAAAATATAATTATATTGGGTTCAGATAAAGCTTTCTAGGCTGCATTTCCATCAATAAGCAGAATATTAAACTGATCAGAGCCCAGTGCATGTATCATCATAAAGTACATGCATAAAAACAGAAACGTTTATATTGTTCATAAGTAGTCAATCAGAATCACTATATTAAAAAGTGAAAAGAACAAAATATAGATTGTAACACATATGGCCTAATTTTGAAACTCCCCATTAAAAATTCAAAAAACAAAAAATAAAAACAACCAAAGAATTGTAGATATGTTATGTTATCTAATGATTAATCCGTATATGATATTTTGAATGTGCAATGATATCCTAGTGTAGTTTTTAAAAACAAAAGGTTATTTGGAAATAAATAAAATAAATAAATCTAAGAATATAGGGAAAATGCCTGTTGTTAACCCTACGCAACACCAAATTGGAGATGACCTATCCAAATTATGCAAAGGAGAATAATTTTGTCATTTTGTGAGCATTATCATGTATCCTCAAATTCTGTCAGTATGGGCTATGGAAGCTCATATATATATATATATATATATATATATATATATATATTATTTTGTGGGAAAGGAAGAGATAACTTGCATTATAGAAAGAAAATTTCTTGCCCTCAGATCATAAAGCCAATAAAAAATGAAGAATTTCATGGAGATTGAAGCCTCATTGAAAGCCAATCACACCATATATATATATATATATATATATATATATTATTTTGTGGGAAAGGAAGAGATAACTTGCATTATAGAAAGAAAATTTCTTGCCCTCAGATCATAAAGCCAATAAAAAATGAAGAATTTCATGGAGATTGAAGCCTCATTGAAAGCCAATCACACCCTAAGGTCAACGAAGACCGCCACTACCACTGATTTTCACCACCGCCAACAAGAAGGAAACAACAGCGGCGGCGGCGGCGGGGCAAACAAATAAATTAATTAATTAACAATAATGATGATAATAACAACAACAAGAAGAATGGCCTAGTTGGATATATCTTGGTGGTGTCGAGGTGGTGGTTGTGACAGTGGCAGTTAATGAAGAGATGGAGGCTTAAAAATGAAGCTCAAAGCACTACTCAATTCTATGATTTCCCATCATTGGGCAAAGAGTGAAGTTCCATTTTTATCTGTTAATATTTTTGTTAGAAGTTAATTGCCAAAGCTCGCATGTCTTCGTAGTTTAAATTACAAAAGGGTTGCTTTCAAACATTAACCAAGGCAATCAATTACCATCTTGTTGGGCAATAATCTTCTAAGGCATGAAGCAACATGAATTAAAAAAAAAAAAAAAAACACACACACACACAAAAGAACCAAATATAAATACTACCAGATAAATAGAATATAAACAAAATCAGAAAATCACAAGTAATAACAGTATATTTAACATTCGAATGCCATTTGGAAAGCTCTCAGATCTCATAGCTTTATATGGTCACTAGCAGTACAACCACAGAATTTTCATTATGAGATGTAGTGATAGATAGTACCACAGAATTTAATAGAGAGAGAGAAGATCATGATGATGAAGGAGCAAAAAATAAGCTCGTGATGAAAAACCATGGTAACTGCTTCCAACAAAGTCTGTTCCATCACAGGGCAAAACCAATAAAATAAAGTTATAACTGAAAGCACTACATGTGAAAGCAAAACATTAATAGAAAATACTATTTCACAACCAAAGGAAACACAAACAAAGGCTTACATAGTATAATGGATAAAAAAAAAAAGAAGAAAAAAGAGATGGAAAACCCTCAGATCTCATAGCTTTGGAAGACATTCACGGCATAAAATAACAAAATGGGAGTTCTTCAAAAAGACCTCCAAACACAGCCACTGCTGCACCACCTCAATGGATATGTATGTGTGTGTGTGCGCGGGCGCACGTATGTGAAGAAGAAGAGACCTCCAAACACAACCACTGCCGCACCACCCGACTGCCGCACCACCTCAATGGATATGTATATGTGTATATGTGTATATGTCTGTGCGCGCACGAAGAAGAAGACCTGAATGTATATGTATATGTGTATATATATGTGTGTGTGCGCGCGTGTGAAGAAGAAGAGGGAATTCTTCAAAAAGACCTCTAAACACAACCACTGACGCACCACCTCAATGGATATGTATATGTGTATATATATGCGTGTGTGTGTGTGTGTGCGTGTGTGAAGAAGAAGAAGAAGAAGAGATGGTGGCACTAGAGTATAAAGGGGCTTATGAAGAACAAGAGCAACATCACTAAAACTGCTAAAACCACTCGTTTCATTTGTTTTATTTTCCATCACAGGGCAACAACGCATGATATCACCATACAACAAAGAAAAACTTCTAAAAAAATGTTCGTAAAAAACACAAAGGAACAAAATATAGATACTACCACATAAATAGAATAATAACAAAAATTGCATTCTCTCGAGCTTCAACAAAATTACTCGATGAAAACACTGAGTGCAAACCAACAATTAACTATCGGAAAATCACAAGTTATAACAATATATTTAACATTCAAATGCCATTTGGAAAGCCCTCAGATCTCATAGCTATATATGGTCACCAGCAGTACAACCACAGAATTTTCATTATGAACCTCTTTACATCTTCTACCACCTAAAGATAGATAGATAGAGAGAGAGGGAGAGAGAGAAGGAGAGAGAGAGACGGGGAGAGAGAGAGAGAAAGAGAGACAGTGAGGATGATGATGATGATGATGAAGGAACAAAAAATGTAAAGTAAGGCTCGTGATGAAAAACCATGGTAACTGCTTCCAACAAAGTATTTGTTCCATCACAGGGCAAAACCATTAAAATATAAAGTTACAACTGAAAGAACTACATATGAAACTGAGCACAAATTGAAACCAAAATATTAATAGAAAATACTATGGCGCAAATCAATTATAATGCCCCAAAATTGAGGTTAGTTACTAAAGAGGTTTAATTAAAAATAATCGAGATTTAACATTTAAATAATAGTTTTGAAACTCGATTTCAAAAATATGAAGCTACAAATATTGCCCCATAGTCTTCAAAATAAAAATACATAAGCTAAACTACCAAGTCGAGAAATCCAGCAGCTAAACATAATTTGAAAAACCTTGAACAGAAGTTTATGGGATGTTTGGTTCATGGATTCAGAACCATGATTCATGATTCTAATTTTTGAAATTCAAATTTTTTATGAGAGAAAAACACTATAGAGAACCAAAAACCAAGATTCAGAACCAGAGACGAACCCTTGAAACAAACATCCCATTAATATTTCATTCTGTAAATTTGCTCAGAATAAACAATCCATAATCATAAAACATCGAAAGTAAAGTATAGTATCATACCACTGGGGTAGCATCACTCTATGCAATATCCACGCGCTCGATCATACAATCTCATGGCTAAGAGTCTAAAATACATCATAGAATCAATAAAACAGTAAAACAGACCGCTCACATCCAACTTTCAGAAAACGGAATGAGTCGACCTGAGACAACCCTCACCTACCAGATGAGACTGAACCGAACAACCTGTAGAATCCAAAAGGTGGGAAATGCATAAATTAATTCTATCCTTTCCAACAGAGGAATAGAATAAACTAAACTAAATAAAAAGAAGTAACCCAAATGTATTAGCAGCTTTAACAAAATCAAGGATGTTGAACTCGACCAAATTGAATAAAAGGAGAAATGATCAATATAACTACAATTTATGTACTCACACAAAAACAAATCCACGGGTCTCCCCGTTAGAATCAAACACATTAGCAAAAAAAAATCTATGTCACCAACTAGAAAGAAATAAGGTACAAAACTAGTGCATAATCACAAGACTTGATCAAATCCATTATTGCACCATAACGAACAAAAACCATGTTCAAGAATTTATCGAATTATCCATGAAAGGGTAATTAATTTAAAAAATAATAATACTAATAATAATAAATAACAGGTTAACATTCCCAATTTGACAGAGTCTCAATAAAAGCACAGCAACTAATATTCTTCAAAGGTCCATGTAAAAATGAAAATTTAAAGAAAAATAGTATCAATTAAACCAAGAAAACATATAAATATATATATGTATAAACATATTTGTAACGCTTAACATCAAAAAGCAAGACGAAAATACAATTCAAACCATAACTCGTAAGACACAGAGCAGCCAAAAAACAAAGAATTCATCGATGCACAAAAGTATTATGCCAGTGAGATTAAACTCCCATCACAATGACAAATAAAGATATTGCAAAGCCCATGGTCCAAAACACAAATCGGTTAAAAGAAAATAGTTCTTCAAGAGTTAGAACTTACAATGACCCATTTGGAGTTAGGAATGGTCCAGAGAGAGAGAGAGAGAGGAAACTTGAGAAATGACGGGTTAAAATCCTAAACACAGCGGCAACGATTTGAACGGCGGCAACACAAGGATGATTAGGGCCAACGGCGTGAAGAGAAGGGAAGTAAGAAAGAAAGAAAGAAAGAAAGGAGCTAGGGTTTTCTAAACGCCAATCCGGGCCGGGCCGACCTCGGGAAATTGGGTGCCGTGGCCGGGTTGGGCCACCAAAGTTAACAAATAACCAGCATTTATAAGAAATTACGTGAATGGCTGCTGGTTTGGGCTTCTAATCTTATCCTCATTTCTCTCTCTCATCAGTATTTCGTTCTGTTTCTCTCATTTATCTCCGTCTGTTTCTAATACCCACGCCAATCAATTGAAATGGGAAGTTGCCGAATGATGAGAGAGTGAACGATTGGAAGGGCGTAATGCTGTAGATTTTTTTTAAAAAAATGGCTTTTAATAGCTCTTGTAAAAGTAATCGAGTGTTTGATAAATTGTAATTATATAAGTATTATTAATTTTAAAAGTAGTGTAATTATGTTTGATAAATTATGAGATTAGATTACTGTGAGTAGTTAAAATGATCGTAATTAATAATTTTAAATTAATATATAAAATAATTAATAATTGATAATTATTTAACAAATAAAAATTAATATAATAATAATATAATAATAGATAAATTATCATTAATGAGTACATTAGTAATTAATCTATATATATAAATTAATATCTAAATAATTAAAATTAGTAATTAGTAATTAATTATAAATCATTACTATGTTAGTAATGTACTCATATTTATTAGATTATAAGTAATTAATTAGTTTATTAAGAAAAATAATTAGTATATACATAATTTATTAATATTCATTTTACTACTTAAAGTATTAACTTTTAGTTACATAATTAAATAATTTTTTAATTAATTACTAATGTTTATTTAATAATCTATTATTTGATATATCATATAATCAATTTTTGGTAATTATTCTTTTTATAATGATTAATTACTATTTATCAAATATTAATGATTATTGATTAATATATTACATATTGATAATTATAATTTAATATTAATTATTAATTGAGTAATTACTATTTATTTTGAATTTACCAACTCTTTACTAATTAATAGATTAGATTGATATATTAATTATTAACTATTAATTTAATAACCTATTATTACTTGTTTTATTGTTAATATGTTATATAATTATTTTTTGACAATTAATCTTCAACAAAATAAATAATTACTATATTATTTATTATTTTCCTAAAAAAATTAAAAATTTAATAGTAATAAATTAATATTTAATTAATAATTAAGTAATTACAATCTATTTATTAGTTATTAAGTATATCAATTTATTAATTATTAATTAATATATAATATAATTAGTAATTAGTAATTAATTATTTAATATAACTTTGTTGATAATCATTAATTGTACTATGTTGATTCTCGCACAATCTAAAAGTTAAAGTTGTCTTTTGGCTGCTATTGTGTGGGAAAATTCACATAAACACGTCGAACAATGATCAGGCCACACGTGGCCCCATGCCTGCCACGTCAGTTAGCCCTCGACGCCCGAGCCTCATTGGTCTCTCCCGTATGGCATGAAAGTCGAATGTATAACGAGACTGAGACCGTCGACCCTATATACAATCGAGGTCTGCGAGACCAGCTCGCACAAAATAACGCAATAAAGTCAGCCGTGAGAGAGGCTACCCTCGATAGATTTTAGCATGGGCGCAGAGGGCAGAACGCAAGCAACTAGGTCCACATCCTAAGGAAGACCCCCGAGAAGATCAACAGAATATCCCAAGGTTGCGTCTGCCATAGACAATTGGGCGGACATGCATCGTCGCAGGGACTCTTGGGTTAATACCCATGCGGAACATACTTTCGTAAGTATTTTTACTTTTCATATTAAACTTTTTTATATTGAAATAGTGGTTGTATAACACGTAAAAATAATTATAATGTCTTATTATGTAGAACACCCTAGAGGAGGAGAGAGAAACACAGAGAACACAGACTACTTCAAGCTCGAAAAACCCCGCTTCCTTCAAGCCCCCCTAGACCCCCCCCCCCCCCTTGACGAGCATGGGATTTTGGAGCAAGTTCTTGGCATGCGTAGAGGACATAAGATAGGAGTGGGTCTGACGCTCTCCCAAAAGCATTACTCCGGGACTTCTCCTTCATCTGGTGATTCATTCTCGGACACAACATCATCGGCTCAACCTAACCTACGTGTGGATCGTTATTTAAAAAAATCGTACCGGGAACAAATGAAGATTTATGACAATTAGATGAAGATGTTAGAGTTGGTGTTTAAATTGCAGCCCAACATCCAATTTTCTACGATTAATCGTCCATAACCAATTGACCTAAACGCTCTTGATCTGCCTTCTTCAGATGATGACAGTCCTAATGATGATTTGGTTGTTGGCAATGCTACAAACTTAGACGATTAGTTTCGTTATATGTACTATTTTATTTTTCACATTATTTAGACTTTTATATTTTTTTGAACATTATATATGCACTTCATATAATATTCATATTATATTTTATAAACTTATTTAGATTTACTGTTTTTAATATTAATTTATATTTCACTTTTAATGTATCTTAATAAATTATATTCAGTATGTAACATAATAATGTTTAATTAAAATTATTAAAAATTAATTAATTGCCATTTTTTAAAAATTATAAAAAAAAATTATTTCAGTTTTTTGCGACGACTTTTTTAGACTTGTCGTCGCAAAAAAGTAAGATTATTTGCGATGACATTTTGAAAAATGTCGTCGCAAAAAAGATCATATCACGAGAATTTTGCAACGGCGTATTAGCGACGCTTGTCGTCGCAAATACATTTGCAATGACACTATGTCGTCACAAAAACTTTTTTTGCAATAAATTATTTGCGATGACATATCTGCGACGACACGTCGTCGCAAAAACTGTTATTTGCGACGACACTCGGATTTTTGCGACAACAAAAATCGTTGCAAAAACCCCTTTTTCTTGTAGTGAAGCAAAATATTACTTGAAAAATACTTCATAACAAATCAACACATATAAAATAATATAATTGTAGGTAGTGGGTCCAAATTAATCAAATGATATAGATATTGGAACACCAAAACTAAGACATTAATTACTTGAAGAAACCTAGCACAAACAAAACAGTACATATATTTAAATTTAAAGCTGAAGCAAAATCTAATCACAATGGGTTCAGACAAAGCTTTCTATAGGCTACATTTCCATCAATAGGCACAAACACATGAATGAGATACTGCTCAGAGCCCAGTGCATGAATCATAATCATATGAACAAAAATAAAATAACGCTCAGAGCACAGGATTGGGATCTTCATCACGAGTAGTGGCGTCTCAAACTGTCACGCTCCATCGGGATCTTATTTTGTGAGCCATGGCTGCATTTTCTTTGCAAGCGACAACGTCGTGATCTCTCTCGTTAGGCAATGACATTGGGATCTCCATCGTGATAGATGACATTACGATTTCTTTCATGAGCAAAGACCGCAATTTGTTTTGCGAGCAATGGCAGTCATAATTTTTTCTGGTTTGTTTTATCGTGACCAGCTATGTGGTAACAAAGAGTGTTCAATTTGGTCACAAAATAATTGTTTGGTTGCTTTCGGCACCCAAATTTCATACTTTTTACAACCAAATTTTCAATTTTCGGCAACTTAAATCTTGGTCGGAAAAAGGCAATTTTGTTGCGACTGAAACTCAGTCACAAGAAAACTTTCAACAACCAAGTTAGCAACTATCTAGGCCTCGTTCATTTCACCAATTCGAGTTTTCAGTTTTAGATTTCTACCGTTAAAAGTTTTCAGAAAATGTCACATTTAACTTTTTCTGCTACAGTAAAAAGCTCTAAAAAAATGTCACATCTCAGCTCAAATTAAAAACTCAAATTCGCGAAATGAACGAAACCTAGAAACTAAAAATTTGGTCACAAAAAAACTTTCCACGACTAAAAAAACACAAGTACGTAGCCACCAAAAATTTGTTGATTTTAGGGACCATCATCGAATAAAATTTCGGGTTCTTTATCTGTTTTATCTGTAGTTAATCCTACGTGTAGTTTGTCTTTCTTATTGTTCGCCAAAAACTCTATGCATAAAATGACTCCACGCAAGCGCACGCAATCGAACAAGTAATATAGTAATGAGTAAAGTATCGTCTCCACAGGGACTGAGTTAATGAGGAATTCTATTATAAAAACCAGTTTTATCAATATGATTGAGAATAGTTTGAATGCCAAATTGATATTAATTAAGTGAAAAGAATGTATAAGACCAAAGACTGTAATTTAAATGCAGACAAGAGGTAAAAGTCAACAATATCTGAGCTTAGAGCTGTGATTTAATGATGGATGAAGGCTAGGATTACTGATTTCCCCTCGGTTGCAACTCTGACCACGATTTGCTATACGATTGCTGTAGCAAAGTTCATCTAGTCAACCTAAAATTCTACATAATCATCTTCCGACAGATTTATGCTTGTAATTCCTTAAACTAAACCAACATATTCCTATGTGTTTTAGTTTACAAATCTGACGTTAACATCAATTTTAATGGGTTGTACAAGATAATAGTATATTCCTATACTATCTCTGACATTATCCAAGCTAGATCTAACTCAACCAACCTTTCCAGAATTAGCTTAAGTTTGTGTTTTCTTACTAAATGATGGCCTGTCACTTAATAGAAAGTAAACAATAAATATGCTTGAATAAACCAGATGAAAATTACATTATCAATCAAAATAGCAAATAGATCTTCATTGCAACTTTGGTTCCATCAATAATCCTAGCTAAGGAATTTAGCTCATGTTTAGTTCAACAAAATCAGAATTAATAACAAATAACAGATCCATAAGGTCTCGGAAAGTAAATACAGAGAGAAGGAAAAAGCAGCTAAGCTAGAATCTGAGGTCAAAAACCCCTGTATATCCGTGTTGTACTCTTCTTTTCTCCAGCTCCAGCGTCCAAAATCTCCTGTACTCTCTTCTATCTCTGTTTCCAGCTCATCCAGGAATTCTGTGTGCCTCTCTGCTTTTTCTCCTCTTCTCTCGCTCTCTGTACTATACTCTCCTTTTCCTTTAT